ACTCCTCAAGTGTCTGCAGGTGACTAGCCCTGTGGGGTCCACAGAGGACTGTGGCTCTGCAGGGCACCCCTTGTCTTGTTCTCGGTCCCCTCCATCTTTCCACTGATGCTAGGTGAGGAGCAGAGAGGCCTTGCATGAGTTAAGCAGCGTGAAGACAGAAGGGGTATTCCTACTCCTATTTACTCTATTTTATCCTAGCGCAAAGAGGATGCAGTTCATCCCTGTTTCAGTAGTTTCTCTCTGAAACTGCACAGCCCAGTCCACTCAAGATCCACTCTCCACCGCAAGTCATGCACAAGACTGCTCTATCAGGGAATAAGAACAGGAGAAACTAATTTTGGTGCAAATCTCTATTGCTAGCTGAACTTTTTTCTTTTCTACTTGCTGCCTTCTGTTCAGGCCTTAAAAGCATCTTCATTGGCTTTGACCTAGTCAGTGTGCACACAGGTTAGCTGGGCCTGCTGTTGCTGGGTTGCTGCTGCTATTACAGTATTTCTAGTTGGGATCCCTGACTCTTCTACCTTTCCAGAAGAACAGTGACACTTCTGTTTTCTGTGACTGAGAAGGAATATTTTTAGCCACCTTCCACTGCTATGCAAAAAAACTTGCACTCAATTTTGGAGTTTGCATGCTTTTCAGCATCAAGAGGGCAACAGTTTTGCTTTTTGGATTTGCTTTTCAACATCCTCTGTGGCATTTCGCATGCTGGCTCAGATGGGCTGTAACAACTTGATCTTGTATAAAAAATACCATATAAAAAGTATTCCTCTAAAGTAAGAGGCACTTACCCACCTTCAGATGCAACAATTGGTAGCAAAAAACCTCAACCTTCAAGGTAGTTACATTGTACACTAAAATCTTGGCTCTGTACTTAGCTCCCTGTAGATGATCCAGAACTGGACTCTCCTGTCACCTAAGTTAAATAGTTACTGCAGTGTCTTGTTGATAGAGATGTTATTCATAGCTGTCTTAGCTCATGGTTAAGCCTAAATGAAGACTGTTATATACCCTAATAGGGATAATATTTGGTTACAAAAGAATAAATAATTGTAGCATTTAGTCAGATGTTTCATATTCCCATACCAAATTGCTAATCATGATATTCTTAATTCTAGGG